ACAATGGGGCCAGGTGCAGCAGCTCACACCTGCACAGCTAGCACTTTGGGAGGCTATAGTAGGAGGATCATTTGAGCTCAGGAGTTCGAGACCAGCCTGGGCAACATAGTGAGACTCCCTTCTCTAAAAATATATACAAAAAATTAGCTGGTTGTGGTGGCATGCACCTATAGTCACAGCTACTTGGGAGGCTGAGGCAGGAGGATCACTCGAGCCAGGGAAGTTGAGGCTGTAGTGTAGTGGTCTATGATCGTGCCACTGTACTCTAGCCTGGGAGAAAAAGTGAGACCCTGCCTCAAAAAATAAAATAAAATGTATATATTGGAACAAATATGCAAGAAAGACTAAGGCAATTTTATAGAAACAACAAAGAGAGTGATATTTGTCTTTCCAGTTAGCAAAGCCCAGGGGCAGACAACAGATGAGTAAACCAGAAAGACCCAACACAGACTTGCACTGAGATTTGCTCTCAAAGGCAGTAATTTTAAATCACAGGGGAAATGACAGATTATCCAATAAACAGTATTGAAAAGGTTGGTTCTTAATTTTGAGATTTCTTAACATTAAACACCAATATCACACTAAAAATAACCTTCATATTCTGTAAAGGCTTAGACATGAAAATTACAAAATAATGTAATACATAAATGCAACAAAAAAAACAAAGTTTTAGGAAAAATATAGGAAAAAATAGTTGTGATCTTGGTGTAGAGAGGGACTTCTTATGACAAAATAACATTCTAAATTTTTATAAAAATAAAAACTTCTGTAATAAAAGATGCAATACAGTTAAAAGATTAGGGTCAGAATGGTAGAGAATTACGTATAATGCATAGAATAATTAATATCAACAAAACATAAAGAATTCCATAAATCAGTAAGAAAAAGACAACCCAGTAGAAAGATGGACAAAGAATATCCAAAGATGAGCTCGACAGGAGGAAAGAAAAATGATCAGTAAGCCCACAAGGAGAACACTGGTCACTAGTGTGACCAGTCATTCAAAAGACACAAATTAAAGGCACAAGAAGAAACTGCATTTTCACCTCTCAGATCTGTGAAGTTGAAAAACTGGCAGTGATGTGGAAAAATGAGGATCCACATTTACTTGTGGAGGGGGTTCAACCTGGCACAGCCACTTCAGAAGACAGGTGGGCATTATCTACTAAAACTTAAACAGCAAACAATCCTACGACTCAGAGTTCCACTCTCAGTGCCTATCCTGGAGAAGCATTTCAGGAGGAGGCATGTACCAAGATGCTGTCTGCAGTACTCCTCATAACAGACAGGAAAAAACTAACTAAAGGTCTACGAATGGGCCTGGCACGGGGACTCATGCCTGTAATCCCACAACTTTGGGAGGCCGAGGCAGGTGGATCACAAGATCAGGAGCTTGAGACCATCCTGGCCAACATGGTGAAACCCCGCCTTCACTAAAAATATGAAAATTAGCCAGGCGTGGTGGCGCATGCCTGTAAGCCCAGCTACTCTCGAGGCTGAGACAGGAGAATTGCTTGAACCAGGGAGTCAGAGGTTGCAGTGAGCCAAGATTGTGCCATTGCACTCCAGCCTGGCGACAGAGCAAGACTGTCTCAAAAAAAAAATAATAATAATATTAAAAAAACGTCTATGGATGTTACAGAAGGGGAAACATGGAACATTCATATGGAGTATGACACAGGTGCTCAAAGGGGCAAACATGGCTGGGTGTGGTGGCTCATGCCTATAATCTCAGCCCTTTGGGAGGCCGAGAGTGGATCACATGAGGTCAGGAGTTCCAGACCAGCCTGGCCAATATGATGAAACCCCATCTCTACTAAAAATACAAAAATTGGCTGGGCCTGGTGGCACATTCCTGTAATCCCAGCTACTCGAAGGGCTGAGGCAGGAGAATCACTTGAACCCGGGAGCGGGAGGTTGCAGTGAGCTGAGATTGTGCCACTGCACTCCAGCTTGGGCAACAGAGTGAGACTCTGTCTTAAGAAAAAAAGAAGAGATGGGGGGCAAACAAGAGTTGCCATAGGAACCAACATAGGTGGAGCTTGAAGATATAACTAAGTGAAAAACAGAGGATACAGAGTACAATATCTATGTTGTCGGATAATTCATTCAAAATATCTACATCAATACTATATGTTACTATGGAAGGAAATACATAATTACAGTAGCTACCTCTGTAAGGGGGCAGGAACCAGAATCTCAGGTGGCCAAAGGGGACTACAGTTATGTTCATATTGTTCCACTTTTAAGGAGAATGTATGCACACTTTACTTGTTTAAAGTATAATTTGAAAAGATTCTAATTTGTTTTCAGGCAATTATGCCACCTCTGTGCATTTGGCTGTGCTCAAATGTTTGTGCCCAGGGAGGGAGAACGTTTACTTTGTGTGTGTCTGCGAATCAAGCACAGTGATTAGTAAACAGGCTGAAATGGGATATGACAAAGCAAGGGCCAAACAAATAGGAGCAGAGGGCAACCTGTTCACAGTTAACAGCAAAGCCTGTAATATACCTAGGAATACATTCAACAAGAAATAGACCAGACTTTAACCAGGGAAAACCATAAAACTCACCTGTAACCCCAATAAAATCCCAGCAGAAATTTTCCCAAAACTTGAAAGGCTTATTTTAGAATTCATGATAGGACTAATATGCAAGAATGACCAAGGTAATTTTGCAAAAACAACAAAGAGGGTGAGATTTGTCCTGCTAGTTAGCAAAGCATATTATCAAGCTCAGGAGCAAACAAATAGATCAGTGGACCAGAAAGAGCCCTACTGGGATTTAGTATCAGACAAAGGTAGCAATTTTAAATTAGTGGGAAAATGATATAGAATTCTACAAGTGGTATTGGGACAATTACATATCTATTGTTGGGAGGATGAGGGGGAATTAAAGTTAGATCCTAAGATTCATGCATGCATATGGAATTTAGTTTTTGCATGTGGTAAAAAGGCTTAAATAGCCGGGCTCGGTGGTTCACACCTGTAATCCTAGCACTTTGGGAGGCTGGAGGGAGGCTGAGGCGGGGAGATCACGAGGTCAAGAGATTGAGACCATCCTGGCCAACATGCTGAAACCCCGTCTCTACTAAACATACAAGAATTAGCTGGGCATGGTGGCACGTCCCTGTAGTCCCAGCTACTCGGGAGGCTACGGCAGGAGAATCACTTGAATCTGGGAGGCAGACGTTGCAGTGAGCCAAGATCATGCCACTGTACTCCAGCCTGATGAAAAAGTGATAATCCAAAAAAAAAAAAAAAAAAAAAAAAAAGGCTTAAATACACACACACACACACGTATAAATGATAAATGTTAGAGAAGAAATACAGGAAAAATGCATAGGACCTTGATGCAGGAAAGGCTTTCTGAAATACAATGGCAAAGAAGACATAGAATTAAAATAGATATCAAAATTTAAAATTTCTCAAAAGACATACTACAATTAAATGACAAGAATCACAATGCAGAAAATATTTGCAATATGCATAAAGTATACAAAATACATAAAAAGCTTCTTAAAAAATCAATAAGGAAAAGACAACATACACTAAAAAAAAGGGTAAAAGATATGGACAAGTAATGCAGAGAAGGAACTATAAATGGACAGGCAATACATAGACTTCAGCCATTCTGATAATTCAGAAAAATGCAAACTAAAACAAGATACTATTTTTCTCCCCTCCAGATTGGTTAAAATGTAAAACCTGGAGATGGTCTGGAGAAACGGACACACATTTCTAAGTATCGGCTCCAGAGATACTTAGAACACTTGTACATGAGCAAAAGGGGCATATAGAATGATGCTGTTATAGGTTTGTCTTATTGATATAATACTGGAAGCGTTTTAATAAGCAACAACTAAATAAATCATAGCACAATCAGTTCTGGTTGCCAGCAGCCAGCTGAAAGGGGCAGTGGAGCCAGCTGTGGCAGGCGACGTGCAACATGAAGAGAGTCCCGTAGGGCGCCCTGAGCTCAGGAGTAGCACCTCCAGTGTGTACACCACCACATCTATGCAAGCAAACAAAAAACAACAATAGAACACAGGACATGTTTCAATGTGCATAGGAAAACATTTTGGATCAACAGCAAATGCCTCATAGCAGCTACTTCTAGAGTGGGGGGCCTGAGGCCAGGCTGGGGAGGCCAGTAGAGACTTCTTTACCTGAAATACTCTAATCTTATTTAAAGGAAAATGTATTCATGTATTACTTGCATAATTAAAATTTAATTCAAAAATTCTAATTCATTTTCAGCTAATTAGCTCTGATTTACATGTGTGCTGTGTTTTCATTTGTGTGTCCAGGGACAAAGCACAGTTGCTGTGTGTGTGTCTGTGAATGAAGCATAGTGATTAGTAAACTGATTAAAATTTGGAAAGCAAAATCAAAAAAAAGGAAAGTTTTTCCACTCACAAAAGCAGCAAAACTAATAAGGTACTCAGGAATAAACCTATTAAGAAATGTGAAAAATCTTTATGACAAAAGCCACTAACCTTTATTAAAATGCATTAAAAACAAAATAACATAAATACAATTCTGATTAAAAGGAGACAGACACCATGTTCACAGACGGGAAAAACTGATGTTCTAAGGATGTTAATTTCTTCTTTAATGCAATTCTTCTCAAACTTCCAACAGATATTTTGTTCATGGAACTTTGACAAACTGATGATAAAATGTACCTGAAAAAGTAAATGTGCAATATGACCAAGACGATTTTTAAAAAGAATAAGGGGCTGGGTGCGGTGGCTCACGCTTGTAATCCTAACACTTTGGGAGGCCGAGGTGGATCACTTGAGGTCAGGAGTTCGACACCAGCCTGGCCAAGACGGTGAAACCCCATCTCTACCAACAACATACAAAAATTAGCCAGGCATGGTGGCATCTGCCTGTAGTCCCAGCCACTCAGGAGGCTGAGGCAGGAGAATCACTTGAACCTGGGAGGTGGAGGTTGCAGTGAGCAGAGGTTGCACCACTGCACCCCAGCCTGGGCGACAGTGAGACTCCGTCTCAGAAAGAAAAAAAGGAATAAAGGCCTTGGTGAGAGGGGTGGAGTGCTTCTCTCAATAGGCCATAAGACACTTTATAAAGCTTTGCTCATTAATATGTACCATTAGCTCAGAAATAGACAAATAGATCAACAGAACTGGAGCCTGGACATAGGGAATTGAGAGAAAAGGTGGTGTTGGAACAATAAATGGTGCTTAGCAAACTGGCTATCTATTTGGAAAAAGAGCAAATTAGAGCTCTGTGTCACACCATACATGAAATTACATTTCAGATGGGTTAAAGATTTAAACATTTCAAACAACTATAGATGTTTTAGATGTAAACACACAACGTATATATGCTGTGGTGGGGACCTGATTTCATCAGCACAGTGCAATAGGACACTTAAGCACCTGGTAGGGTTCCAGGCAGACCTCAGCTCCCACCTTTGGCAAGGGCCTGCCGAGCATCTCCATCTGGACCTCACAGACTCCACTCCCTCTTTCTCTCCAGCTCCACCTGGTCCTGGGAAGAGGGACTGCCATACCGGATGGACTGAGGTCTGAAGCCAGCTCCTGCCGCTTGTGCTCTGTGTCAATAAGGCATCTCTTCCTCTGGCTTCCAGTTCCTCCTTTATGAGTAGGTGACGAGGTAACGCTCCATTTCTTGTGGGGAAATGTGAAGCTCGTATGAGATGATGAATGTGAGCATAGATAAATGGCATCGAGCTTACAAGGATGAGGGGAGCAGATACCTCTACTTTTTCTTGACCCACACCCCATAACCCCTGCTACACAAGACTTAATGGCCAGTTCTTCTTTGTGGCACTGTAACTTCTGGATAATTGTCATAGATTCTTTTTGGTCAAAAGAAGTTTGAACATTGACTTCTGACATTTGATTCCAAGGCAGAAAATACTGATTCGGCACCCAAAAGCTTACTACCTGTTGCTAGGTGCTGAGAAACACACAAACTAGTAAGACACGATCCCAGCCACAAGACAAGACAAGACTGGTGTGAATTAGAACTATAGTTGGTACACAGGTCAGATAAAAGCTCCCAAAAGAACATGGAGATCAAGTTACTCTCTAAAAGGTACATAATTTTGCCCCATTCAGTCAAATATACGTTATTCCCCCAAACTAATTTATCCACCTCCACAGTTGATCCCAGCCCCTTTGGGAGCTCATCTCACTAATTGTCTTCATCCCTAATGACTCAGCCACTGAGGTGCCTTACCCTCAGAATGGTCATCTGCCAGCATTGCTCCCTCCTTTAAGATTAAGATATAAACACCCTGGATCTTGCTCCTTCTTTCCTTAATCGACTTCCACCCCAACTGCTCTGGCAGATTCTCAGAGGTCACTTGGGTTGCCAATCAGCAGGGCCACCATGCTGCCCAGTTCCAGAGGAGCTCAGGGATCGCCTGGTCTTCCTGACCTCTCTGCATACACCCACTGCTGACCACCTCGTCTTTCTGCTGATACACCTCCCGGCTCTTTCTTTTCAGTGCTCTCAGAGGATTCCTCTTCTCTTTTCTAATCTCTGAATGTTGGTGCTCCTTGGGCTTGATTTCATTCTCCTCAGCCATCCTCTGGCCACAAAATGCCCCAGACGCCTGTCAACATCTGGATCCATATTTCCATTTGGGAGCCCCCAGAGCTCTGGACTGGTCTCCGGAATTTCTCACCTTGTGCTCTGGAGCTGTGCCTTCTGCCATTTCTTCCCCATCTCCATGGGGATGTCTCAGCCATTACCACCATACTTGGGTCTACCTTACAGACCTGGCCCCTTTCCAGGGCTCTCAGATCAGAAAATGGCGCTGCCACCTCACCAGTAAGGCAAGCCAGAAGCTCAGGAGTCATCCTGAATGCTGTCCTCTTCCAGCCCCTCTTCATTCCATCCAGAATATGCAGATTGTGTCCAAATCCTGTCCACCACTAACCAGAATATGCAGATTGTGTCCAAATCCTGTCCACCACAACAAAGCTTCCAAACTTGCCTAAGTCTACCCATGCTGCCTTAATAATTTCTCCACAGAACAGCCAGAGTGTCAGGCAGATTACAGCCACACACCAGGGCAGGTCACCTCCCCTGCTTCCCTCGCTCTCAGGAGGCTGGCAGCTCAGCCCTGGTCTCCAAAGCTCTGCATAGCCAGAACTGCTTGCCGTCTAGTCTCACTTCTCCTTCCTCCCTAGGCAGGCTCTTTGCTCAGAATGCTTTCCAATTTGCTTTGTCCAGTTAACTTTGTTCCCTTCTTCCTATCTTGGTTTGGAGGATCATCTCTTCAGGGAAGCCCCCCAGAGTCAGATAAGGGCAAGTCCCCTTGTGGCACACCCTCCAGTACTCAGTACCTTTCATTCAGAGTGCCTATCAATGCTGGAAACTGTACATTCATGTATGTGATTATCTGATTATGTCTTTCTCCCCTACTACCATGCACGCACCATGAGAACAGGGATTCTGACTATTTCAATTCATTCACCCAAGTATCCATGGTGCTAGGCACACTGCTGGGCTGGGCACATGATTAGGTGCTAAAAGAGAATGATGTGGAATGTATCAACTTTAGTATTAAATAATGGATGCTTAACACTTTGGGAGCTGAACCCATAAACCTGCTCATCTTTCCTAGCCTCAGCCTCCCAGCCCCTATCCTTCATGTCTCAAAATCTTCCTTCTGGACTTCTTAGAGGACTCAGTGACAGATCCATGTCCTCTCACATCTCACCATTACTCCAGCTTAGGCCATCATTCCCTCAACATGCTCTTATGAAGGCCATCCAAACTTACTAATCATGAAATCCAAAGGAAAAATTCTCTATATCTTATTGGAATTCTCTGCGGCATTTGACAGTGTTGATTACTTTCTCCTTGAAACGCTTCCGTACCTTGGTTGTCATGGCAACCCACTCTCCTGGTTGTTTGTCGCATCTCTCAGGCCCTTCCTTCTCTTTCTCCTTTTTCGCCTGCCCATACCTTGATTGGTTCCTCAAATGTCATGGTGACTCAGGATTCTGCCCTGGGCCGTCTCCCATTTTCTCTCTACACTCTCTCTCTGGTGATCTCACTTATGTTCAGGGTCCTCATTACTCTGAGTGGGGACATCCTGGGCTAGTGCTTCCAGCTGAATATCTGCCTGAACCCTAGACACCAGGATCCAAGTGTCTGCTGGGCCCCACTTGGCTGTGTCAGAGTCCACTATCTTGTCCCTCAAACTGGCTCACCTTGCTGTGTTCCCCACACCAGGGCGCCCCCTCCACCATCCACCAAGGACTCCAGTCAAGACACATGGGGCTGGGCACAGTGGCTCATGCCTGTAATCTCAGCACTTTGGGAGGCCAAAGTGGGAGGACTGCTTGAGCCCTGGAGATGGAGAGCAGCCTGGGCAACTTGGTGAGACCCTGTTTCTACAAACAAACCAACAAAAACCCAACAAAACAAACAAACCAAACCAAGACACATGGGAATCACCTTTGGCTTGAGCTTCTCCTCACTCTCACAGATAATCACTCACTAATTATTTCTGGTTTTTATCTACCACAAGTTCTGATCTCTGTCCTCCCCACTGGTCTAGTTCAGGCCTTTCCGTCTCTTACCTGGAAGTCTCCCGCTTCTGAGCTGGCTACTTCTTCTAACGGATATCTGGGAGTTTTGGCTTTTAAGCATGATTATTCTTCCCTGAAGCCCCTTATTATTTTTTAGGAAATTTCTCATCTTATGTGGCTGTGGTGGGACTTGGGCTGTTCCCTCACATGGAAGCCATGAAGGTCCCTCCTCTAGGTCCTGCCTCTTACCACTCTGGTCCTATCAGGGTGGCACAAGGCCCAAGCCTCTCTCTGGACTTTGGCTTCTGTCCAAATAGGGAAGAAATAGAATTCTTTGATGTCTAGGCAATACCACCAAATAGAACTGCTACGGTTGCGGCAGGGTGGGTGGAGCAAAAAAAAGAAAATAGAACTGCCACGGAGACCCTGAATATCACATTCAAGCCAGTGACCCGAGCCTTATCTACTTCATTGCGTCCTGGATATTGTCACGAAGTCTTTTTGATACAAAGAAAAATTTCTGAATTCCCATTTTAGACAATGGATTTCAAGCAGAAAATAATTATTCTCCCCCTACCTAGCTGGCTGCCTGTTGCTAGGTGCTGAAAGGTATGAAAAAAATGGGAAAGACATGGCCCCAGCCATGAGGCAGATGAAACCAGTGCTAATTAGAGCTGGAATCGGTACCCAGAGGGCAGAGAAAAGGCCTCCTGAAGAACCTGGAGATTAGGTTACTTGCTAAAATGTACAAAATTTACTTTTGTCCCTTTCCACCAACACAGCTAATCCCTTCACCTCTACACTTAATCCCAGCGCTCCCGGGCCCCTCACTGCCCAGCCCTGCTCTTCCAACTGGGCTTGCACAGCTTCCTCCCTCCCAGGTCTCCTGGAAGAATCAGCTCCTTCCTGGACCCTCTGCCTGCTCCGGCTCCCTCTTCCTCCTCTCTCAGCCAGACCCAGTTCATTCCCCACACACCAAGAGGGACTTCTGCCCCTTGACCAGAAGTTGCTGTGACAAAAGTCCCCAAAGGCCAATCTAGGAGATGCCTGAGCCTCCACTGACCTTTGTGAATATGACCCACCAGTGGCCGCTGTCTTTCTGGGAACTCTCCTCCCTGGGCTTCTAGGAACCCCATGTTTTTGGTCTTCTCCTCTGTCCCCTCCTTCTCAGTGTCCTCAGCAGGACCCTTCTGTACCCATTCCTAAAATGTCACGAACTCTTTTCTGGCCTTGTCCTTCTTTGAGTGCATTTCTGGTTCATCTATTCCTGTTGAGATGTGCACACTTCTTTGGTAAGCTCCTAACAGGCACATACACTTTCCTACTTGATGCCAGCTACGGTCAAGGTCACCAATGCACATTTTCCTTCCTTGCCCACCCTTGCCCTTTGCTCCTGCCTCTGACTCAGACAGGCAGGAGGACTCTAGGTGATAGCCTTTTGGACTGCCCCATCACATCTATCCTTACGTCATCTCAGTCCAGATCCAGCTCAGAAATTGTCCCGTGGCCCAAACCATTACTGTAGCTGCTTCTCCCTGAGAGGTGGCCATGCTGCCTGCTTTCTTTGCCTTTTCATTTTCCTCTGCCTAATCTCTCACAGGAAACTGCTCTTGATGAGGGTCTCTACATCCAGTGGGATCTCAGTCCCCATCTAGTTGGCCTTTCTCTTGTGTCTGCTGCCAATTCTCTTTTGGAAACATTCCGCATCCCCAGGTTTCCATGCCAACACAGGCTGCAGGTGCTCTATGTCTCTTGGACTTCTTTTTCACCTTTGTGGGCTCCCCTCTCTCTGTCTGCCTCTTAAATGGGAGCAAACTCTTGTTCCTGGACACCCTCTCTTTTCTTAGCTGGCATGTTCTCCTGGAGCCAGTTCACCGAAGCCCATGGCTACAAGCACCATAGTCTCAACCCAAATTTCTTGTCTAAATCTCCTGCTGGGATGCAGACCCTCTATCTAGCTCCTTGCAGGCCACCTCCTCCTGGATGCCCAACTCTGACTCAACTTGTCCAAAATTTAGCTCAATAATTTTCTCTCAGCCCCAAAACCTGCTCTTTTTCCTGGGTGTTCTTCCTTTCACCCAGTTACTCAAGATGAAAGAGGAAAGGTATCCTTTACTCTCTTTCATTAGCACCAGCAACCTACCAGTCAGCAGATTCTCCCAGTTTCACCCCCTGGATCTGACCACTTCCATCTCTTGGCTCCTACCCTTATCCTTCCTGGACCCCACCTGGTCCAAGGGAATCATCTCCTTTCTGGCCCTCATACCTCTAAATTTCTCCACACAACTAATCACCCTAAAAAAGAAATTCTACCATGGACCTGCTTGCAGTGAATGCTTCAGGGGCTCCCTGTTGTAACTGAAGACCCAAATCTTGAATTAGACATACTAGCACTATGTGGCCTGGTTCTGCTTTCTCCACCCCAACCTCTCATTTCGTGCTTCAGCAACCCCCAGCTGTCTACGAGTTCATCCACAATGCCGCTCACCTCTGCCTCTGCCTTCTACTTGAATAACTCCTACCCATCCAGTCACCTCTTCTAGGAACCTCCTTGGATATTCCCATAAAATTTCACACCTGCACCACCAACCCTAGCTGCCCCATGCTACCATGTCCCAGGCATAGCTCTGGCCTTCTCCTTCCTATGTATCTGTGTGTCTATGTGTCTTTCTTACCTCTTTGTACTCCCAAGGAAAGGGATATTTATCTTCGTGTGTGTGTGTGCGCACACATATATATTTTTATAGATACAGGGTCTTGCTATGTTGCCCAGCCTGGTCTTGAACTTCTGAGCTCAAGCAACCCTCTTGCCTTGGCCTCCTAAACTGCTAGAACTACAAGCGTGAGCCACTGTGCCTGGCCAATATTTTAAAACCTAGCATCGTGCCTGACACCAAGTAGACATTCAATAAATGTTGAATCAAGTTACAGGCTACTTACCGTCTCTTAAAACTTCTCTCTTCTTTCCAAGAAGTGTACGCAATTCACATTCCCCCAGTAGTGTGTAACAGTACCTACTCCACTGTATCCTCATCAACACTGGGTATTCTTAAATTTTTTCCCCTGATTTGTTAGGGAAAATTTGTATTTCCTTATTGTTTTCATTGTTGATCTTTGGTTATTAGTGAAGCTGAATATTTTTTCAACAAGTTTTTCAGTCAATTCCATTTCCTTTCCTATAAACTCAATTCAGGTGACTTACACACACTTACCTGTTTTTCTTTTACTATTAAAGTTTTGGGTGTGTTCTTTTATACTTCAAGAATCTGCAACCCTCTGCTTTTTGGTTTGTGATATTACTTGACTTTGAAAATATTTTGTTTTAATGTAGTCAAATTGGTTGGCCTTTGCCTTCTTGATGTCATCTTGTTGCTTTTTAGCTTAAATGGGCTCCCCCATTCAGTCACTTTTTAAGTATTCCTTTCCCCACTGGTTTTTAATGGGTTCAATTTTTCTTTTGACCTTCTAAAATAATTTCTGAATTTGGGTATGTGCTCTGAAGTTGGAACAGACTCTTTCTCTTTGTATTGAATCAACGGTCCATGCCTCAATTTTGGGTAACCCTTCCACTCTTGGCTCTGTCTCTGAGCTTAGCTATTCCTGGCTGATTGTGGCACTTATGGTCACAGCCTTCTCAGAGCACATACCAGCAGAGCAGGGAACTGGAAAGCTACAGGAAGGTATGATTCCAGGCACAGTGACAGTGAAATACATGGAGGTGTTTAAGGGATGGAGCAGAAAGCCTTTCTGGAAGCCCTGATAGAAGAGTATGTGGAAAGATGGGTCACCTGCCTTGCCAATGTGAATGGCTAAATCTAGCTGGCATCCACCTGTCCTGGAGGCTTCCAATTCTGCAAGGAAACATTACTCAGGGGTCCCAAGAGACAAAGTGCCCACCCCATTCCTCACCTGCACCAACCTACCTGTATAGACCCTGTCAGCACATTTCATCATCAGCAGAAAAATCATCTCAGCCAGCTCCTGCCAAATTTGTCTTCCGGGGGCTGTGGCCATCATCACGATTCCTCCAGGCTCCAAGATGAGGACTTGACCCAGAACCCGGGGTCTCCATGCTCCTTGTTCAATTACTGCTCTAGGCACCAGGGTATCTGAGGGTGATGCTAGAGCTGGAAGGGAACTGTGGAATTATCTAATGCAACTACCTCATTTTACAGATGGGGAAACCAAGGCCCAGCGAGGGGAGGTGACTCACAGCCACCCAGCAAGTGAGTGGAAAGCATCCTTGCTGGGAGAACTCAGTGTGAGGACTTCGCTCATCAAATCTTGACCATAAAAATATTTGGACCCTGGGTTCTAAAATAATTACACGGTGAACTTCTATATTGTTCAGGAAAGTGGCATATTGTGTAAGTATATCGTTCAAGACAGTGAAGTCAGAGGAGGACAGGCCTATTTGCCAATTCTTTCTGGAAGACCTGAAGTTTGTTCTCACCTCTGAAAAATAGGGATAATCAAGAATCCAAACTGATAGAAGCAAACTCACCCAACAGACTGAGGTTAAGTCTATACAGGTCCTCAAACCTTCAAGACCCTAAATGGGGAATACCATGAGTATGTGAGGCCCCTCCTGCCAAAAATAAATAAATAAATTAAATAAATAAATTAAAAATAAAAAACACCCTTGTAAACTGTGCCCATAGGAGAGGTTGGTTATCCTAGTCCTGAACACCATGTAGGTATCAATTCTCAGTACTCTAGGCAGCCCCACTTAACTGGCCAAGGATGAATTCTGGCCTTCATCTATCATCTTTTTCTTTTCTTGTTGAGACAGGGTCTCACTCTGTTGCCCAGGCTGGAGTGCAGCGGCATGATCTCGGCTCACTGCAGCTCTGCCTCCCCGGTTTAAGCGATTCTCATGCCTATCACCCAAGTAAGTGGTATTACAGGTGCACACCACCATGCCCAGCTAATTTTTTGTATTTTTAGTAAAGACAGGGGTTTGCCATGTTGTACAGGCTAGTCTTGAACTCCTAGCCTAAGGTGATCTATGCGTACTGGCCTCCCAAAGTGCTGGAATTATAAGTGTGAGCCACAGCACCCAGCCACTTCTCTCATCAATAGCTTAACAATGGTTATTTTTCCTCTTTAATTCCCCATTTCAGTTGTTTATTTCACCCCAGCAAATATTTATTGAGCATCTTCCAGTGATGGCTTCAGGACAGATGAGGTCACCTGTTGAGTGCTAAGCCTCCCCGGTTTGGGTGGGTGGGTCGTTGCATGCTTGCTATCCAAGACTAAGCCCCCACCTGTCCACAGAGTGCCGTCCACTCCAGGCCACTTTGGACACAGGCCATCATTTATCCCTGTTTGCTGTTGGCCTTTATCTTCTGAATGTCATTTCATTGCTTTTCAGCTTAGAGGAGGTCCTCCACTCAGATACTTGTTCAACATTTTATTCCTTTCCTCCTCATTTTTAATGGGCTCATATCTCCTATTTCACGTTCAAAAATAGCCTTTTTCTTCCCTGGTCCCTTCCCTCTCTGAAAAGTGGTGTGTCCCAGACTTCCAGTCCTATCTGAGCACCGGGAGCCTCCCTGGTGCCTTTGCCCCAGCTCCCTAACTGCAGGCAGCCCTCCACCTCCTTCTTCTACCTTCCCTCACAACCACAGGGAAGACAAGGACAGTGGTGAAAGTGAGGCTCTGGAAGATGACCAAATGGGGCACAAATCCCAGCTCTGCCCCCCATCTTGGGCAAGTGGCTTCATCTTTTGAAGCTCTTCTGTATAGTGGGCAAAACCATGTCAACTCTAGGATGTTCTCTGAAGATTTCAGAAAGGTATTGTTGACAAAATGCTCATCAGGGCCTGATCCAGAAAAGCACAGGTCAAATATTAGCTAAATCAAAAAAGAACAATCCAAACAGGTCACTTCAACTTATCCGTCTCTTTCCTTTCATAGTTGGAAGAGGTGATCCGTTCTCTCATCTCCACTTCTTCCTCTCATTATCTTCTCTTCCCATGGTGATGTGATGTCTGTCTCCATTGCTCTGCCGACCCCAATGTTGATGACAAGACCTCCTAACTGACCAGCCCAACTGCCTCTTCTTGGTCGTCTTGCTGGTGCTGCTTACCACAAGAGATTTCGCATTCCTTCTCAAAACCCCTCCCTCCACACCTTCTCTCTGGGCAATCTCCTGGACTCTCATATGACATGGGCCATCTCTTCCGGGAGGACAGGTGGGCTCATCTGGCTGGGCACCTGCAGAAGCAGAGCAGGAACACCTAGGGGAAGGTGGGAACCAGACTGAAATGCTCTCCTCCATTAGCAGAGAGAATGCCATCCTCTAGGCAATAGGGAAGGACAAAGTTAAGCCAAGAGCCACAGAAGATGACTTAAGCTGGTAAAGATGGCCAACGGTGGCCATTTGGTTGATGGGTTGAAAGGGACAAGATTGGAAGCAGAGAGACATCTGGTATGACTGTTCAGAAAGAGATGGATTAAAAGAATGAAAAGAAGGAGATGAATATGGGAAAGATCAAGGGACTGGAGAGACAGGACTAGAGGTGCAGTGGTGTCATCATGACCAGGGATCAGGAGGCCCAATCCAATCTTTCTGGTTTTGAACATCACGCATACTGCATGCCCAGATTGTTAGGAGGGCACAGCTGCCAGAGCTATTAGTCACAGTAGCTGTGGTGTGTGCTATGCGCCTGTGGTCCCCAGTTCCTGTCAGTACAAAATGGAGCCATATGGCATTCATAAAAATGGCTCTGAGGGTGGAAATAAGAACTGGATCCTATTTGGCCAGTAAGTAAAAACAAACAAAACCAAAAGCCAACCACCAAAGAGCAGCCCCCAAATGGCCCAGCCCATCTGTGAATAGTAGTCTAACCCCCACAGTATTGCAGCTGGGATCTGGGGGTTGGACTGAGGCAGGTTTTTCCTCAGAGTGATCTGAGGGAATAGGACCAAAGGACTTAAATCTCAGTGATGTGCTCAGATGGGTGTGTGTGGCAGTGAGGCAGGGCTGCAGGGAGTTCTCAGACTGTGACTCTAAAGAAGACACTCATGATCTAGAAGGGGAGGAGAAGATGGAAATGGAAAATGAGCAATGCAGAGGACCACCTAAGTATATGGTCAGAGTTCAGGAATCAAAGGCCACCCTGGCCTAACTGTGAACTCTTGGGCAAGTTGGAGAAACCTCTCAGCAGAGCTTCAGTCCACTCCCTGTGAAGCAGTGGTCCACACTCTACACTCCTGCCAGTTTACCTGCCTGCCAGCCTATGGGGAGACACTCATAAAAGTTGGAAAGCTGGGGAGTGCCATATCCAGGGTAGATAGTGCCATACCCAGGGTTAGGGTGTGAGAAGAGTAGAAAGGGGGAAGCAGAGGGAATTCCCTTCAGCTTACCAGTGACTCAGGAGCCCACCTACATCCAGATCTTACAGGGTGTCTACCACCTGGAGGGGCTACTCCTAAACCACATGTGGGCTGCTGCCACAGCGAGGATGCCAGGCTATGTAACCCTTTACAAGGTTCTCACATATCTTTGTCCAAAATACTAGTCTGGAGGCTGGAAAATAATCTCTGTTACTTCAGAGTTGCCAAGAGATTTGGGAGGCAAACTGAATTCCTTTCCTTCTAGGAAAGACTAGGTCACCCAATTACTTACGGACTCTTAGCAACTGAGCCACCTATCCATCTAGCCACCAGGTCAGCCAACCAGCATGTACCATGGCAGGTCTGGTCAGGCAGGTTTTGTGCTTGGTAAAGGAATGAAGACTAAGCCCTTATCTTCAAAGGTTGTGCAGGGCCTTGATGTCCAAGCCAAGGGACTGGAACCATATGGAATTACTGAAGGGCTTTGTCTGTCTTTCCTGCCTCATAGACCCTTCCATGTCTTATTTGGCTCTAAGCTGAGATTCTTGACAGTTCTGCACCCAAGAGATTTAAAGTTTATTTTTTTAATGCAAAAGATCTTTTGATTAAACACTTGTCTTAATACCCTTTCAATCACTATCTCTAAGACTAAAATAACAAGGATAAATGTCACTGATGTTTCACAGAAGACAGCTTTGGAAATGTTAAAGACTTCTTGGTCCAGCCCCCTCCTTGACTTATAAATGGGGAAACAGGCCTAGAGAAGAGTAAGGAGAGCAAGGCCACATGGTTCCCTGCCCCCTCCTTGGAGGGTCACCACTATCAGTGTGGGGCACGAGGCTGGCAGAGGGTTAGGCTTTGGAAGAGGTGTTGAGCTGTCAAAGTATAGGCTCTACACAAGCTGTCCAGGAAAAGGAGTGAGAAGCCAGAACCACCCAGAGGATTAGTCTTTGGAGAAGGGTCATATCTGACCCTTTGGGATATTTGACAAAGTACTCTCAAACATATGCCTGTTCTGATTCCTCTTTGGGAGGAGGCTAGACAGACAGGGATTATTCTCCAAGAGAGGGAAATCCATGGAGGGTTGCTGGGCAAGCTGGTGGCTAAGTAGGGACTCAAACTGAGGACTCTGGTCTCCTAGAAAAAAAGCTACACCTTAGTGTTTTCCTTTTTAGGATACTGCCTCTTCAGAGAAAGTAAAAAAATGATTAATGAACTCACACAGACATACTGAGATATGGTCTCCCCAATAATCTCTCCCTAACTCCACTAAAGCCTTAATGACATGGTATTATCTTCCCACAAGAATGACTCAGTGCCCTCCCTCCTGCTGATCTGAGTTCCTCAAGAGGGCATGGTCTTATTCTGCACCAGCTTCTCAGAGCTTGGAAAAGAGCCTGGCAAATGTTCCTCATGTGAATGAATGAGTGGGAGAGCTGGAGGATCAGATCATATCCCTAACGGGCTGCAGCTTAGTAAAGGCCAGTGGCAGGGGGCCATAAAACAGAGGAAATAACATTTGTGGAGACTGTGCCTTGAGGCAGATGCTGTGGTGGTGGTAGGTCTCAATTTGATGGGTGAGGTGCAGTCACAAAGGCAGGGCGTAAGGCCTGGGGCTCCTTGGATCCTTGCACCAAGCTTCTTCAGTCCTTCAAGTCTATCTGGGCCCAAGCTCTGAGGCCTTTTCCAATATCCCAAAGGGAGACCCAGGGCTTCTGTCTGAGGCCTTCAGTTGCTGCTTAGCCAGGTTCTCTTCCTTACCTCAAGCCTGCTCTACAATCGAAGTTTTTCTCAACATACTTCATTCTCCCCCTGAAGCCTGGCAGATCAAACTCTGTTCTTCCAGGAACTTTCAGGAAGATACTGGGGAGGGAGGGTTGCTGGGCTGACACTGGCCAAGCCCCCCAGGCAGGAGCATCTTCCATCAAGGAGAGCACTTCTTCAGTCATTCCTCTTTTCAGAACGGTGGTCCTTTCACACATTTTGGTGGGTTAGGGAGTAAGCTGTACACTGGCTGCTAGGAGACAGGGTTCTGGCTCTGCCCACTGAACGGACACAGGTGACATCTCTTCTCTGGCCTCCTTTCCTGCAGCTATTTGACAGGAATTGGCTTTCCTTCTAACATCTTTCACTGCTTCCTCCTCCCCAGCCTGCCCTTTCTCCTACCGTCCCTTCCTCGTCCACACTCACTCCTTAGGTCTACTTCTCCCCGATCCCAGTGATCTAGAGAAGGCAGTAGCTCTCTCCGTGGCCCTGCTCCTTTCACCACTCAAATGCTGTCCTGTTCCTTCCTGACAGAATCCCATCTTAAAGGCTGTTCTGACTGGGTTACTCCCCAACTCCCATTAGATCCTTGTTTGTGATGGCTCCCAGCCAATTGAAAATGAATAGTTCTCAGGACTGAGTTTTGGGGCCTGCCATCAGCATTTCAGCCTTAGATTCCCTTTGTATCTCCCAACAGTTCTCTGGCTTTAGGCAGACTGACTTCTTTATCCCCAAAAGCCTTTTTGGCTTCTGATTCTAGGGCAGCCAGATAGTGGTGGTCCTTCCTTTTACTTTCATCCCAGTCTCTTTATTCTATAAGCAGAGATGCTTGATTAGATGGTTAATATATATATATCATTTATTACTTCACTGCTCAAACCTTTATACTTGCTCCTCAGGGCTCCACCTGAAGGTCAATCCTTCCAGGCCTACATGAGGTCCCCTCTTAGACCCTCTCTTCTAGGAGCTGACACAGTCCATACTTGTGTATCGCTGGCATTATCTGCTCAATGCCGTGCCCTTTCCCATTAGCCTGGAGGGCTCCCTGATGGCAGGAACTGTCTACCCTGTAGTCCCAAGGCTTATTCCTGCATGGAATTCTGACAAATACCTGCCAAATAATTGACACTGCAGGCCTCCTTGGGAGACAAAAGGAGTCCTCATGAGCCATGCCCTCTAGGAAGTCAGTCGCTACAGAAGGGAAAGTCTGCCGAACACTAGCAGTAGCACTCAACAGAAGGCTGAGTGAAATGATCCAGGCAAGTAGTTCTCCTGGGAGAGGAAATCCAGGAAAGCTTCCTTACAGAGGAAATACCTAGGCTCACATGGTACACTGACTACAGCATGAGGCACATGCTATCCTGAAAGTGCACTGCCACCTACTCAGAGCCCAGCTACCATCCTCAAATGGGTCCAGGGAGACCCTAGATCTTGGGAGAAAGAACTCCCAGGATATTAGGACTAGAAAAATCGTGCTCCAAAGACCATATTTTACCTATATGGAAACTGGGGCCCAGAGCAGGGCAAGGACCAGTTCCTAAAGAAGCCTAGACTTGGGCCTCGTGGCATCTTGTGGTTACTAGGCACCACGTGGGCAATCATTTCATACGAGGAGCCACAATGACCAATGGAATTACACAGCATGTTTTTCTAAGGCCTGCTGCCCCTACTCTTCTCCAGAAAAGATATCTACTTTTCATTTTCCTAAAAGGCAGTTCAGGAAGAGGGGACGGGTACCTGGCAAGGTAGGAAGCATTGTGGGGCAACAGAATGCTGATTTGGCAGTCACTTTGGGGAGGGGTGGGCTGCAGGCTCCCTGCTGGAAAGGGCCACAAATCTTTCAGAGGGAGGCCTGTTTGTGACTCTTAAGCAGGCTTGACCTAAAACAGAAAGCTGCTTTCTGAGGAAGAGCAAAATAAGCAATAATCTTGGCTTCATTTATCATCCAGGTGCCACCACAGGAGAGTAGGGACACAAATGCCTTTTTTTGTTTGTTTGTTTTGTTTTTGGAATTTGCAATTGTCTATTTTGTTAAGTCTCCCCATTAGGCTACAGTCATGAGCTCCTGGAGAGTCAGGCCTGAATCTTGCCCCTGAAATCCCCGGCAAGCCTAGTACAGGGTCTCAACGTTTGTTGAACAAACCATCCTTTCCAGGTATGACTCCTCAGCTTGTTAAGACTTTGCAGAACCATGAAATCTATCCAGAAACCCAGAAAAGAAGAATTCAGAGATAAAAGCACAAAAGAACCAGATAAGAAAATTACCCAGCAGATATGATCAATACAAGTTTGGTTCTTTGAAAATATCTCTAAAATAGACAAATCTTTGGCAAGTTTTGATCAAGGGAAAGCATCAATAAGCAACACCAAGAATGAAAAAAGAGATAAAGTGACAATGGAGAGACTTATGTGAACAGGAGAAAATCACACTCAATTTTATAGCAGTAAGTTTAAAGCCTAGTTAAAACAGGTGATTGTCTATGAAATTACCAAAGCCCTTCACAATTGTGGCTCAATAAAGCCTCACAACAGCCCTGTGCCTTGGACAGGCAGTACTCCCACTGTGCTTTCTAGAAGGAGATTCAGAGGTGAACACCCAGCACAGGGCCTGACAAACTAGCCTACACTGTCTCAAAGGTCATGGCCATGGAGCACGTGCATATCTATGACATGGAACCATACCACTCTTGCACTTCTGGTCATTCACCTTACGTCCAGCTGGTTGGACAGCCAGTCTTATTTATTTTTCCACTTGAAATGCCATAAGGGGTTTCACTTTATTTTTACTTCAAAAGCAGCACCATAAAAATCCTTGATGATTAGAGCTCCAGCTGTCTTAAGTTGTTTGTCAAGGGATCGGTTACTCAAATCTCCTATGGAGGGAAACAATTTCAGGCGAGAAGCCATGGGAGCTGAGAAACGCAAATGTCTCATCTCTGAAAACTTTCAGACTCCCTCCTGTTCACCGCCTGGCCTGTCCCCTGCTCCCCCTCCCCCACCCCACCATCTGCTCTCCAGAAAGCAGATCAAATTTTCGGGCTAAGGTACTCTGGCGCCAAGGACTCAGCCCCTCCATGCTTCCCCCTGCCCCCCACCAACTCCGAAATCCAATACCACGACCCAAATGGACTGCAGCCACATAAAACCACAAAGTAAAGTTTATAAAGCTTTATTAAACATTTCAAACAGCTGTGCAACGAACACACCAAATAAAAGCTCTAGAATAGCAGTCCAAACGTTTCACAAGTATGGCCTCACAGTCCCATTCCGTAGATGGACTGCCTCCAGTTCTGTTCTCTGCCTGGCCCTTCTCCCTTTCCCCTCAGGCAAGAGAGAGATGGATGGATCAGACCGAAAGGACAGACATGCTGATCTCCAGTAGGTAGGGACCAGGAGAGAGTCTCGTTTGCCAACACTTGTTACCGAAGCGCAGAAAAAGCAGCAAGTGACAGTCACAAAGTCTTCCTGGGTATTCTTCATAATGTACAGTCTATATGCGCAGGAACGGAGAAGCTCCTGGCAGGAGGATGATGGCCACTGCTCCTCTCTGTCTTGTCTGAACCACCTCGGAGTCCAGTGTGCTGGTCACTCTGCAATCCCCATGCTAAATAAAACTGTAGCGGCACCTACTATATATAGCTAGCTATTGCTAAACCTCAAAATCAGAAAACGTTTGATAAAGCTTCTTTAAAAGGAATATACACATGTATTTGTACACACACACACGCACACACAGGGCACACCAAAAAATATCCAAACATCAAGGGGATCATGGCTGTTATGAAACACACAGGTACTCGCCCATTCACTCAGCTGGGGACTGCTAGAACTACGTGAACACACCATACTTCAATGCTGAAGAGCATGCACGGGAAGACACAATGAGGCCCCCCTCCTTGGGACAGCTGAGAAGGGCAGGAGGAAGGGCAAAGGAAGTGAGGCTGGGCAGGAAAGCATGAGCCCAGACACCCAGGCGAAAGAGCAACATGTATCTGTTGCATCCTTTCTTAAAAATGAAGCAGAGAAAATACTGAAGATTTGTGGACAACAAACAGTCAAGACATGTATCTGTCTAGCCTGCTGAACAAGGAAAGAAGGATGAAAAAGCGAGGCTCTCGGGCGTCAGCAATCTCTTCAAATTCGAGATAAGTGCAAAAATGAGCCCTGTCTTGGACAGGTACTCCCCAAAAAAAGAAAGGGGTCGAAGAGAAGTAAAGGGAAACCAGGAGAGGGACTGAGGAGTCAATAACATTATGGGAAGAAAGGAGACCCTGACAAGGAGGGTTCACAGAGGTGACAATGAGACTGGCATTTATCTGCCCAGGTCATGCTGGGGCAGTTGACCAGGATGGGCCCAGACTCCTCACAGTAATGAGGTGAGGGGGGTGGCCATGCCGCCAGCCAGGACCTAGATGGGGACAGAATACACACAACCACAAGACCACCCACGGCTATAGGATTTTACAATAAAAGCACCGGTCAGTGCCATTATTCACATTATAAGGATAAAACATCACAGGCCAAAAAGGCGCCGTCAGGAATGTGACACCCGCAAGGTGGCGGGATTTGAAACTCCAATGCTTTATGACCTATGTCAATGCCTCCCCTCCCGTCTTCTGCTTCCTTGGAAAGCTAACAGGGCAGGCCGTTAGGTGCCCACAACACCGGGATCATGCGCCGATTCTGGAAGCGGGGAATCGGAGCAGTGGTACAGGAAACAGTTTCCCCAGCAGCTATAGCAGATGAGGAACAGGGCTGCCAGGAAAACCAAGGCACAAATTGTGCAAGGCTTCCGTTCCAGGAGGAAGCTAAGCAGGTAGAAGCCCATGAACATGGAGTGGCTGAACCACAGGGCGGGGTTGAGGGGCTTGGGGATGAGGAGGACGGGCAGCAGCCACTGGAGGCAATACATGATCTCTGCCGGGCAGGGCCTTCACCAAGGCTGCCGGGCACCGCTGCAGGAACCGACCTAATGGGAGCCAGCGGGCGCAGGCGGCTGCCCTCCGCTTTCTTCAACCCTCACTCTCCAGGAGCTGAGCCGCTGTGCTCTCTGGCTGTCAGCCCGGGATCACCAAGGCAGCAGGGATCCTGAAGAGAAAAGTCAACACAACAGACAGACAAAGAACAGACAGACAGACAGACAAAACAACACAAAGAGAGGAAAAAAAAAAAAACAGGAACAGAATGTATACTTATTTGGAAAATGGATCATGGTTAACAACAGCAAATGTGAAATGCCCTTTCCTCCCTGCCCACCCATGGAAGTTCTACTCCTCTCCAAGTCACTAATGTGGTACGCCTCCTGGGATGTCTCCCTGGGGCTTCTCCTACAGGATTGGGGAGAGGGCTCTTTGGCACGGTTTCACACAGTGGACTGGCTTTGCCTGGGCCCTGCCCAGCAGAGATCATGTATCGCCTCCTGGGGCTGCAGCCCGTCCTCAATGGCCCCAGACCTCACAATACCGCCCAGTGGTTGCCAAAGGAAGGCCAAGGGCTCCCTGCTGTGCCCCCACATGGTAAGGACAGGTTCTGTATCTAGCATCTCTCCTAGCCTTAGGTGCTCAGGCACTGAGTGGAGAGTTAAAACTGTTAGCAGCAGCAGCACACTGCTGGCCACCAGACGACAGGCAAAGGATCTTCGGGCAGCTGCAGCGGCACCACGAAAATTTTCAAGATGGCAGTCTCGGCTGAGCTTGCCTTTTTCAAATAGCCCGGCATCACTTTGCCAGAACTGCTAACTTCTCCCCAAAGTCAATGCAGAAAAAAAGTCATTATGTTACTTTGTCCAAACTGAAGTCCCTTGGATCATTAAACCTCCATCTGCCGCTGGCACTGTATAGAACCTGACCTCTAGGAGCTTTTACTGAAAATTAATTTTCTATCCACTTAGGGGCAAATGCCAGTTGGCCCCTGTGCCAGTCAGCTTGTTGGAAAGAGGTGCTTTCGGTGGGCCACCGGTGCGCGGGGATCACGCTCCCAAACCGCACTCCAGTCTTCCCGCCCGGCTGTGCGAGGGACCCGCAAGACGGGCGGTTTGAAAGGTATTTGCCTCACTTGGAAATGGGGCCGCGGTAGCCATAACCCTCCGGTAGCGGTAGCGAACCCGGTTCAGTGATCCAGCCGCCCCGCGCAACGGGTACAAAGAACCCCGCCGGCCAAGGCAGACCTACCAGGGCTTGGGGGAGGGGAGCGGAAGACAGAGGTCGAAACGACCGACTGTCCGGCATAAAACTATCCCCGAGCATATTCCTCATTCCTTCCGCGCATACGAAGGGCGCCAATCGTTCCTGTATCCCTCCCACAGATACCGTGTAACTACTGCTTTTGCGCTCAAAGCGCGGTGCCCTAGCTCGGCTCCCTATGGTAGCAACCTCCACCGCAGATCCGATCTCCCCGCTACCGTAAGAAGAGGGATGTAAAAAATCAGAGACGGGTTAAGCGCTCAGGGACCCTCACGAAGCAGAGGATCTGTGCTTAAAACTCATTCAGTATTAGGAAAAGAGCGCAGAGCACGGGTCTATTATGCATACCAAGGCTTCTGAAAGGGGCACCAATTTTTTTTGCTCTATGGGGCAGATGACCCCTCCCTAATTTCGGTTTTCCATCCATCCCCAAGGTAGGCTGTGGAGTGGCACCGGAGACTGAGCTCAAATTTGCAGGCCAGGGGTTGGAGAGAAGGGCGCCACACCAAGAGACTTGCACCCCCATCCTCGCCCGGTACTCTACCCAGAGTCGTGGTACCCCTCCATTTTAAAGCAAAATCCAAAAACAAGCACGGCGGAATATTCTGGAAGGGGGCTAAGATGGAACTCAGGAGGCGGGGGTCGGTATGGAAAGAGCAGATGGATTATTTTTTCCCTCTCCTGACGAATGAGGAGCGCCCCCCGCCACCCCTCCTCATAAACACCCCCCACCAAGGCGCGCATGCGCACTTAGGTGGCGGGCGGGTACTTAAGGCGCGGCCACAGCGGCTGCGGCAGTGCGCCCAACAGCGAACTCTGAGAGACCAGCGGATCTCGGCAAAACCTCTCTCTCGACCACCAGCCTACCGCGCTTGGAACCATGGCGGCAGTGGCGGCAGCCTCGGCTGAACTGCTCATCATCGGCTGGTACATTTTCCGCGTGCTGCTGCAGGTAAGTGTGCTGGGGTTTCAGGTGGGAGAGGGCTCCCAACTCACGTCCCCAAGAACCCGCAACCCGCGTCGCGATTGCCACCTCCCGGACCCGTCCTATTCCGATTGCCGCGATCCCTGCCTGTCCAAGTGCCGCCACCGGCACTGCACGCCCCCTGCCCATTCCCCGCGCTGTCCTCCTCGCACTGACCCTCCCTAGTGCGCCCGCGCCTGCCCGGGAACAAAGACTTGGGGCGCGGCGGGCGACCGCTGCGGATGATCACCCAGGCTTTTTAGCGACCTACGCGGTAAGAAAAACCCGCTACAACCGGACTCGACCCCAGGAGGGAGGCGGGGCACTACTGTGTTGCAGGACTTTACAGCTCGCAGAGTGAAAATTTTCCACCTTAAAAAATTGCGCATTGCGGGGAAATTTTATTTTTAAAAAACATATAGCGCTTGTGGGGGTGGAACAAAAAATAAGTTAGAAAAAGGCACTTCTCAGAAAAAATAAAAATTACTTCACAAAACCCCACAACAATTAGAGAAAAAGTAATTCATAGGAAAAGAGAAAAACGCGCATTGCAGGAAAAATAAATCGGAGAAAAGCACTTGGCAGAAAAAAATGCATTAGATTAAAAACGCACTGCAGAAAAAAATTAGACAAGGGAGCTAACGGAAAAAAGTGAATCGAGCAAAAATGCTTTCAAGAAAAAAATTAGAAAAAGCCCCTCGAGAGAAAAACAGAAGGGGAAAAAAGCGCGTCCAAAAATGGACAATTGCTTTACGAAAAAAAGAAAATCAAAAAGAGGCGAAAGCGCTTTGTGTAAAAAGAAATAAATCAGAAGAATGTGCTTTGCCCGTAAAATCATTTACCTAAAAGCTCCCTTTGCAGGAAGAATTCCCTGCTAAAGGAATCCTTTGCCAAAGGCATCGCGTATTTCCTTCAAGGTGTTCCTGGAATGCTGCATTTACTGGGTAGGATTCGCTTTTCGAAATCCTCCAGGGACACAGCCCATTGCAAGAAGTGAGGTATACCTAAGTTGTGGGTCCAATCAGCTTGCCGCCATGCAGCTCTCAGCACAGTTGGAAAAGCTCCAGCTGCCCTGACTCGTGGACAAGCTGCGCCCGCGCCCGCCTCTCCAGCCTACGCTGGATGGGTGGGCGGGGCAGGGGGTGGGGCGGGGGTGGGCACGGCAGCACCGCAGACATGCTGCGGGTGCTCTCCACTAAGGGTGGGTCCTGGGTTTCTTGCCACAGGTGTTCAGGTACTCCCTGCAGAAGCTGGCGTACACCGTGTCGCGGACCGGGCGGCAGGTGTTGGGGGAGCGCAGGCAGCGGGCCCCCAACTGAGGCCCCAGCTCCCAGCCCTGGGCGGCCGTATCATCAGGTGCTCCTGTGCATCTCCACCAGCACGGGAGCCAGTGCCGCGCAGGAATGGGGGGTCCCCTGTGCTCCCTCGCCAGAGGAGCACTTGGCAAGGTCAGTGAGGGGCCAGTAGGCCCCCAGAGAAGCAGTACTGACAATGACGAAGATACCAGATCCCTTCCCAACCCCTTTGCCCGGTCACACCAAGGGGCAGGGTCGGGGGGATGGGGGGAGCAGACCCCTGAGATCTGGGCATAGGCACTGCATTCTGATCTGGACAAAGTCGGGACAGCACCATCCCAGCCCCGAAGCCAGGGCCATGCCAGCAGGCCCCACCATGGAAATCCAAACACCACACCAGCCAGCAGAATGGACATTGTGACATCGCCAGCCGAAGCCCTGAATCTTGGTGCAGCACTAACCACGTGCCTGTGTGGCGGGACTGGAGGGCACAGTTGAGGAAGGAGGGGGTTAAGAAATACAGTGGGGCCCTCTCACTGTCCTTTGCCTAGGGCACCTGCATTCCAGCCTTGCTGCATTTGCTCCCTCTATTCCCCTTTCCCTCTGTCTCCCAAGCCCACCCTACTCCAAAGTAATGTGTCACTTGATTTAGAACTATTCAAGAAGCAAAAGTAAATGAATCCCATCTTTACTAAAACGCCTTCTCTGAACCCCGCCGCCCCTCACTGATCTTGCTTTTCCCTGGTCTCACGCAGTTGTGGTAAATATTGTGGTAATCGCTAATTGTACTGATTGTTTAAGTGTGCATTAGTTGTGTCTCCCCAGCTAGATTGTAAGCTCCTGGAGGACAGGGACCACCTCTACAAAAAATAAAAAAAAGTACCTCCCCTGTCTCGCACAGTGTCCCAGGACCCTGCGGGGCAGTGGAGGCGCACCAAAACTTTGTCTCTTGTGATTTCTTTAGCGGCATCAACACATACTTCTAAGACTCAGCTGATGTGCCCACTGTGGAAGAGGCACACTACTTGGGGGAGGGAGGAAAAGAAGGGCCATTTAAATTGCAATAAGCTGGGCCCCTCAAACACCCAACCCCATCTCAATGCTGTCCTGTGATAAAGGACCAGCCCTCCCCTCCCCAAAGAGAAAGGCTGACATCTTCACTTGTGGTCCTGGAATAAGGGACACTTCCCCTCCCCAAAGGGATAGATGCTCTACTTGTGGTCCTAAGATGAGGGACCAAAAGCAGGTAATCACTTAGAGAAAGATGAGAGGAGGGGAAAAGGTGGGAGTAGCCTTCCACAGAGGTGCTGGGGACCAAGGGGGTGACTTCAGAATACAAAGTCTTACTCCAGGTCTCCATCCATGAGCCCCATGGAGAGGAGTACTGGGCAGGGTGGACACAAGCTTAGACAATGAGTATGGGATAAGAAGTGTGCTGTGGTGCCTTCTCCACCCAGCTTAATGCTGCAGGCCCCATACCCACCAGGACAACCACAAAGAAAATCTGCCTGGCCTTGCTACTCTGCAGGGGCTCCTGGCCCCACCTCACACCAGAAAATTCTCTCCCCAATACTGGGTTCCTGCTTTTCCCAACACCAGCCTCCTTATTCTTAGGGATGCTTACCAGGTCCCTGGCCCTGGGCTCTCCTTTGCAATCACATCGGGGTGCGTGGTGGGTTGGCTGTTCGGCCTCGGACTTGCCTTCCCTCTCTCACTCCCCAGTGAGTCAGGGCTCTTTCTACACGGGGTCAGCTGACTGTCTCACCAAATGGCCCTGCCGCCTGTTCAGCCTTGTCTCTGGCTTTACGTGTCCCTGTCAGTAAACACCTGTTCCTGGGTCAACACCAAGGGTGGGAGTTGAGGCCATAAATGTCTCTTCCTACCACTTCTTCAAATCTCTTAGTCACAGCTGTCACAAATACTTCTGGAGCACAAAGTACCTTGCCCCCATGAGCCTGATCAGGTTTCCCACTCCTAAGCGAGCCATTAAGTTTCTTAGCCCAATCACCAGCACCTCTATCTAAACGCATCTAAAACTTTATTTGGTAAAGGAGATTTATAGGGGTGGGGAGGTGCAGATCTTGGTTCTGGTCTTGGCTTTGTCATCAATCAGCCTAGGGAAACCGGACACGTTACCTTAAACCCCTCATCTTCAGTTTCCCCCTCTAAGAGGGCCTCTGAGATGCCAGTAAACCCTAACATACTAGAAACTCTGACATCACAGTGGCAATCAGGACTCATCAGGACTCGGAGAGGATGCACAATCTGAGACTTCATCTTCTATAGCTGGGTGACGATAGCTGCTACCATAGCCTGAAGGTATGCCAGGTCTCCTATCGCCCCAGAGTGACTCATCAGCAGGCAATGCGCACACCTCCTCCCTTCTGAATCCCGTTTCTTGGCAGGCCTCAAAACTGGGAGTTTCTGTGGTTTTCCACACTAAACCCATAGAATCATGAACATACTTCAACACGTGTTTTCAATGAAGGCTGACCCTTTTGAGGGGTGTGCCCACAGCCCCATTGCCCTTGATGCTCTAACCTCAGCCCAAGTGACAAGGTAGCAGAGTTCAAGGAGGTGGGCCAAAGCAGCATGATAAAGCTGCTCTGGACACAGCACCTCCTGTGTTCCCACTTAGAAGACAAGAGGCTACTGGTAGCCCCAGAGCTCTCCATATAATCCTGGCAAAGCCCTTTTCCTCCACCGATCCATCCATCAGCAGGGCTGTGAGTGCAGCAAGGTGAGATGACAGACCTCCAGACAAGGGCTGCCCTGGTGGCCTCCACCTGCACATGTGGGCTTCAATGTGCAATGTCCACTCCCCATTTTCGTCCTCCACCCACAAAACCTCATGTTCTGGCAGCAAAGTTAACCCACCAGAGAAAACAATGCATTCACTTTCCATCCAGTGCAATGCTATGCAATGCCTAGATGGTCCAAACACACCTTGTTCAGAAATTTTTTTTCCACAAACTATACCATTAAACATTTTATTCTGATAGACAGCAATGGGAAGAATTGAAAATGACTAGTGTTATACTGCAGAGCCCTTAGTCACCGTGCTGAATGTCCTCTTTTCCTAAATTGTCATTGCTCCCAGATTTTGCCTCCACAAGACCAAGGACAGAGCAGATGAGTTGGGAGGGGATTGGGAATGGCTCTGTCGGACTCCAGCAACAGGTGAGAGACCCTGGGACTAATGCTCCATCACGCTGGTTTCTTAGCCTAATCAGCTGAGGTTAAGTCCAGAGGGGGCAGATTTAGGTACCATGACTTTCAGGGGTGCAGGGTGCTGTGTGACACTGTTACCTTTATCTGTGGAATATTTGAAGTGTGACTGAAAGAAGGGATGTCTGCTGTCAGGGCAGGGCAAGGTAGGGGCAAATTCCTTGAGCTTCAGCAACAGATTACTGTTGGATGGGGGAGCAGGTTTGCTGTGAGCCATTTACTAGATATCTATTTTGAAATGTGTATCTCCTCAGGAGCCAACACCCCAAAGGGAGATGCTGGATTTGCAGTTAACTCCCCCCCACCCCTGCCGCCCGAGATTTAAATGTGTGCACTCATGCACATACACAAAACACTAGTCAAACAACAACCTCTTTTCCCCCAGTGACCTCTGACTTCCTCTACATGCCCCAGAGACAGGTTGTCATCATCTTCCCTGGGAATGATCCCATTTATCCTCCCCTCCCGCAGGGCCCAGCCCCAGCAGGATCCAGATTCCTGAGCATTTCCAGAGCAGGAAGTCAGAAAGGCAGGCAATGCATGGTCCTTGGTGTATCATACAGGGACAGGCTTGAAATGGAATGCATGTGTTTCAAAGATAGGAGAACAACAACAAAAAAAGACAGCCTAACCCAGATTCCTCTTTGAAACAACATATTACAGATTAAAGGTTAAACTGTTTTTGGCAGCAACTCTAACAAGAGCAATTTCAGATATGGAATTGACCTGGTCACTGGAAACCGACCAGGCTTCCAGTGATCAAATCTTTTAACAGATTTGCTTGACATTAATTAGTCTTTGATTTAAAACAAACAAGCAAACAAGAGGTAACACTTCACATTAGCACGTAAGCTGGAACTTTTTTTTGGTCCCAGCTTTGGTGTTGCCGTCCAGAAGGCTGACGGGATGACTGGACCATGTCAGGCAGGACAGAGAAGCCGTCCCCAACACACCAGTTCCCTGAAAGGGATAAAGACGATCCAAACCTATAAACAGAAAGGTTGTTTCGTTCCGAGGACAGACCCCAGTCTCACAACAGTTAGCGCTGAAATGGAACACGGAGGCCTGGAAGGAAACTAAAGGAGATTTGGAAAGGGGAAGGAAAAAGCAACTGTCCCCCATCCCCCATGCTTCCTTTCCAGGCCATTCGTGTGCCAGGCATTCCGCTCCTTCAGCTGCCCTTGAGGGCCACTCCCCACGTCTATAGAAGGAAAGGGAACGGGTGTCCATTATTGATGTAAAGTTGGAGGGAGTAAGAAGCTCCCGCGACTCTTAGCAGAGCGTCAGTCTATCACCCCAGACACTAGAGCGGGGCCCCGAGCGGGAGACCCTCTCTCCCCTCATCCCCACGCCCCCCAACCACCAAAAAAAAAAAAAAAAAGCAACTGCACTGATAGGGACTGAGTGACAGGCCTCTCACAAGCTAGGCACCCTGCCGTGGAACTCGGGGCCGCAGAGATGGTCGTCGCGCTCCCCAGCCCTGCGTCCCCGGCTCTGCCTGCCTCATCCTGCAAAGGCGCTGACCTTGGAGGCCGGAGCGAGTGCCCAGGAGTCCCGTGACCCACCCCCGGGCTGGACAGGGACCCCCAAGGCCCAGGCTAGGTGCCAGCACAGCAATCTCCTGAAGCCGGACAGGGGCACCCTCCCTTCCCCGGTATGCGGAAGGAAAACCCCAGTGACGGGGACCCGGCGACGCCTAAGGTGACCCAGAAGGGACAATATGGCGGCGCGGCCGCATGGAGAGCCTTTCATCCCGCCCCAAGCAGGTTGACGCCACGGTACCTGCAAGCCCTGCCATGGCGTCGCCGCCACTGTCGCCGTCTGCCGCAGCCTGCCTCCACCTCAGCTCGCCACCGACGCCGCAGGAAGCTGGGGAGACGCCCCCTTCGTCTTCTACTTAACAGGCCGAGGACCCATCCTGGGATCGGGCTGCCTACTGCAGACGCCTGATAACACGGCCCGAAGAAGGGCCTTAACCTCGACCCATCGCCCCTCCATATCCCTCACAGACCATCTTTGAGGGCTTTGTACGGACTTTTACAAAACTGTGGGGGCGCCGAGGTCCTCAAACCCGAATAATTTTTGTCAGGCGCAGTGTGGACAGCCTCAAAGCGCGGCCCGGTCCCCTCATGCATATGCAGCAGATTGTGATCTTTACTCCGTGAGCGCGGGGTGGGCTGGGCTGTGTTCCTGTGGGTGAGCCTGCTTCTCCCTGGGCGCCGTGGACGGTCCGTGGACTCGGGGAAGACCTTCTCGTGGCTCAAAGTCCACCCCCTCCCTGGCGTTTCATCATGTGGCCAGGGCTCAGGAGCGGAAAGGTCCGGGCTCAGAACTTGGGACTGCCTTGGGTCAGGTCCCGGCTCCTCCTCTTGCCCTGTACTTGGCGCGAGCTACCAACTCGCCCGCCCTGACTCAGCTTCCTCCTGTCTGATGAAATGCCCACCTCACGGCAGTTAAGGGGCTTGAATGAGTCCGTGTAGTCATTTATTAGCTAATTAAGCATATTCCTTGGGCGCTTTCTGTACACAAGCGCAGTGCTAAGGGCGGGTAGAGTGGGTGACTTCGGTCTGTTCCTGACCTCAAGGCGTTACCAGTCTAATGGCAGGTAGGCAGGGAGACAGTCATATAATTACCGTATATTAGTGACTTTAATCAACACATAATTACGCATCATGGGAAGTACTGTGAGAGGAAGTAGAGAGTGTTAGGATAAATTAATGGAGTCCTAATGTGCAGAGGGTGGAACCTCCTTGGGAAGATGACATTTAGGTTGAGAAACCAAGGGCGATTAAGAGTTGTACAGGGCAAGAGTGAGCGGGGAAATGTTCTAGGCAGAAAGAACATCTTGTTCCAGATGTGGACCTGAGAAGGGACAGAGTGAGGGTGAGAGGTGAGCACGGAAAAGACAGGTCGGCTACATACTGAATTTGGCTTTTCTCTTGAGAGTCAGGGGAAGCCATTTTCATCAGGGAAAGGATGTCAAGTTTGGATTTCTGAAAGGCCATTTAGGCCGCTTGGCTTGAAGGGCACTCAGGAGTGGGTGAAGGGAGACCAGTTAGGAGGTGGTTACAGCTTTCCAGACATAAGCTAATGCTGACTCAGGGTAGCGGTTTGGGGAGGTGAAAGGAAGGATGGAAGATTGGATGTGGGTGGGTGCGGAGGCACTGGCAATAACACCTCGCTAGGTTTTAGCCTTGAATACATGAAAGGGTAAAAGAGCCCTTGGTCAAGACAGTAAAGCCTGAAAAAGGAAGACTGAGGGGAAAGATTTAAGTTTGGCTTTGAAAAGTTAAGGTTGAAATGCCTAGGCAACATGCAGGGCCGAGAGGGTGAGTAGGCAGGTGTATGTGACACAGGAGCTCAGAACAGAAGCTGAGGCTGGAGATATGTATTTGGGGGCCATCAACACAAAGGTCATGGCGCTGGGTGAGAACTCAAGGGAAGGAAGGTAGAGAAGAAAGTGGGCAGAAGAGGAGGATCAAGGAAAGGAGACTGAGAAGCAGTGGCCAGTGGGGTAGAAAAAGAACCAAGTGAGTGTGGGTCCTAGAGAGGAGGTTTCAAGGAGGGAGTGCTCAGTGGGGCCGATGCTGTGGAGGACAGAAATGGAGCCAGTGGGGTTTGGGAATAAAGAAGTTGGTGGATTCTGTCTTTTATGTTGCAAGTTAAAAAAACAACTACCTCAATTGGCTTAAAAAAAAAATAAGTAGCCTGCCACTCAGGGGTTGGTAGTGTCATCAAGGACCCAGGTTCATTTTATCTTCTGCTGTTTCATGCTCATGGCCACAAGATGGCTTGCAGTTCCTGGGGTCACATCCATAGCAAAGAGATGTTCATTTCTCCTCTAACTGAGACTCAAACAGGCCTGAATGTGGCCCCCCACCATCCTGCTGCTTACAGGCTAAAGGATCGATGCATCCATGGCATCCACACCCAGGATCCAACACTGAATGACAAGAGGAGTCTTGGAGTGGAAGCCCGTGCTTAGAAAAAGAGAGAGCTGGCTTTGCAGACGCTGCCGGGATCCCCATACTATCCTCAGCTGTGGTCAGCCCCACTGTGATCGACATTGCTGTCAATGGTGAGCCCTTGGGCTGTGTCTCCTTGGAGCTGTTTGCAGACAAGTTTCCAAAGACAGCAGAAAACTTTCATGCTCTGAGCACTGGAGAGAAAACTTCTGGTTATAAGGGTTCCTGCTTTCACAGAATTATTCCAGGGCTTATGTGTCAGGGTGGAGACTTCACATGCCATAATGGCACTGGTGGCAAGTCCATCTGCTGGGAGAAATCTGATGATGAGAACTTCATCATAAAGCATACAGGTCCTGGCATCTTGTCCATGGCAAATGCTGGACCCAACACAAACGGTTCCCAGTTTTTCATCTGCACTGCCAAGACTGAGTGGTTGGGTGACAAGCATGTGGTCTTTGGCTAGGAGAAAGAAGGCATGAATATTGTGGTGGCCATGGAGTGCTTTGGGTCCAGGAATGACAGGACCAGCAAGAAGATCACCACTGCTGACTGTGGACAACTCCAATAAGTTTGACTTGTGTTTAATCTTAACCACCAGACCGTTCCTTCTGTAGCTCAGGAGAGTGCCCTCCACCCCATCTGCTGGTATCCTAGAATCTTGTGCTCTCCCTGTACTCCATGCAATTCCCTTTGGGTTCTATGTTTTCCTTGTTCCCTTCCATGCCTAGCTGGATTGCAGAGTTAATTTTACGATTATGAAATAAAAACTAAATAACAAAAAAAGAAAAAGCTGAATGTTGAGAGGCTATGAAGCAACAAATTCTTGCAGACTGCTTGCAGCAGAGGAAATTGGTCCGGCCATTTTGGAAAACTGGCAGTATCTATCAAATCTAAACACATACCTATGCTGTGACCTGGAATTTCCACTCTTAGGTATATACCCAAGGGAAATGAGTGCCTGTGTCTACTTGGAGACTTGTGCAAGAATGTTCGTAGCTCAAATTGGAAATCGTTCAATGTCCATCACCGGCAAATGGATAAACAAATTGTGGCATGTTTGTGCAATGGAATACTGTGTTTTACATATAAAAGAACAAACTGATACATGTAACACCACCAGTTAATCTCACATATAGTATGTGGACTAAAAGAAGCCAGATACAAAACAGTAGATACCATATGAATCCATTTATATGAAGCTGAACTAATGTATAAGGTTAGAAATCAAAATGGTAGTTACCTGGGTCAGGTCGGGAGTAGGGGTGGGAAAGGAGCAAGAGGGGCTTTTCTGGGGTGCCAGAAGGATTGTATCTTCTGGCTGGTGATTACATAAGTGAAAATTCATTGAGTAAAAATTATAAGACTAGGAGACTGGGAGGTGGAGGCTGCAGTGAGCCGAGATCATGCCACTGCTCTTCAGCCTGGGCAATAGAGTGAGACTGTCTCAGGGCGCTGGGGAGAAAAAAGATGGGGCTTTATGTACTTTACATATGTTATACCTCAAGAAAAATAGAAGATAGGGGCCAGGCATGGTGGCTCATGCCTGAAATCCTAGCACTTTGGGATCACCTGACGTCAGGAGTTTGAGACCAGCCTGGCCAACATGGTAAAACCCCATCTCTACTAAAAATACAAAAATTAGCCAGGTGTGGTGGTAGGTGCCTGTAATCCCAGCTACTCGGGAGGCTGAGGCAGGAGAATCACTTGAACCTGGGAGGCAGAGGTTGCAGTGAACTGAGATCACACCACTGCGCTCCAGCCTGGGCAGCAGAGCAAGATTCCATCTCAAAAACAAAAACAAGAAAAATAAATGAAAGGAAAGGGTCCTGCCGTCATGGAAATGTGACATGCTGCTAAACAAGGATCAGATCTGTTTTTCAGGGACACCACCCTCCAGTAACCTTCAGGCTGAGTGTTAGCATGTATAGGGCCTTGTGGGCAAGGCTTTCTCCCTGGGAGCCCAGAAAACGGGATGCTGAGGCAGGCCTTCTCTTGTACATGGAACTCCCTCACGTTCAACTGGGTCCTTTCCTCTGTACCGTCAAGACTGCTTTACCTTCTCAGCTCCGTTCCAGGCTGTGGAAACATCACCAACACTGGTTCTGACTTGCGAGGCCTGGAAGGTCATTCTGCCCTAAAATTTTGCTGAGCCAAACTCAGCTTCCTACCAAGGCCTCCCCAACTTGCTCCCACCCACCAGACACCTGCAGTCACCCATGACTCCTGCTCCCTCTTGCTCTGTACTCCTCAGCTCTTGCCCATTCCTCCTGAATTTCCGTCAGGGCTTTTCTGTCCCCACTGCCAAAGTTTGGTCCAGGCCACCATTCTCTGTCCCCTGAACCCTGCAGCAACCTCCTCACTGGTCTCCCTGCCGCCTGTCTCGCCCAGAACCTTCATCTTCCACCCAGAATGAATTTTTTTCTTTTTTTGAGACGGAGTCTTACTCTGTTGCCCAGGCCGGAGTGCAGTGGTGTGATCTTGGCTCACTGTGACCTCCGCCTCCTGGGTTCAAGTGATCCTCCTGCCTCAACCTCCCAAGTAGCTGGGACTACAAGTGTACACCACCACGCCCAGCTAATTTTTGTACTTTTAGTAGAGATGGGGTTTCACCATATTGGCCAGGCTGGTCTTGAACTCGTGACCTCAGGTGATCCGGCCACCTGGTCTCCCAAAGTGCTGGGATTACAGGCATGAGCCACCGTGCCCAGTCCGGGATAATCTTTCTAAAATGACCTTGTCACTCTTGTTGAGGGGGTGTTCCCTCTCCCCTGTCTTTATCTGTCAAGATATTCCCCAGTCTTCAAAGGCCCAGATCAAATGCCACCCCTGCCATGAAGACTTTGTATTCATTCATGAAATATTTTTCGGTTACCTAAAATGTGCCTAGCACTGTGCTAGGCATGGAAGATAGAAAAGAGAATAAGAGCTGAGCATGGTGACTCATGCCTGTAATCCCAACACTTTGGGAGGCCAAGGTGAGTGAATCACTTGAACTCAGGAGTTCGAGACCAGCCTGGGCAACATAGTGAAACCTTGTCTCTACAAAAAATAAAAGAATTACCTGGGCGTGCTGGTGCGTGCCTGTGGTCCCAGCTACTTGGAGGCTGAGGTGAGAGGATTGCTTGAGTCCGGGAAGACGAGGCTGCAAGTGAGCCATGATTGTGCCACTGTACTCTAGCCTGGGTGACAGAGTGAGACCCTGTCTAAAAAAAAAGAAAAAATAATACTGATGTTGTCTACAAACACTACAGACAGTCTGGAGAGATGGGCAGTATGCAATGCCAGTGCGTGTGCATTTCCTATGTGTTAACCCCCGTGAAACCTTGAGCTCTTGGAGGGCAGGGCTCATTTTGGGTCTGGCAGGAAGGAAGAGGCATTAACTGTTGAATGAATAAGTGAATGATTGAAAGGCCAGACCAAGCTCCTGCCTTTGTCATTTATCCTCCAAGCCTCTGAGTCAGCTGGTAATGAGGTCCATGGAATTCATTTGGGAC